TCGCCAGCTTCTACTCTATGCATAATATAATTATTTATGTGTATGTCACTAGGACTGCACGATGCCGCCTTGAGGTTTTAAAACCTGCAGTTTAACTCTGCACGCACCTGCACGCACGTGCCCGAAAATCAGACATAATCTTTTAATTAACAACCGTTAATATGCTAACTTATAGGTGCGAATGTTTGGATGTTTTTGTAAGCAGAGGAGAGGAGTATTTAAAGAGTTAAAGTTAGTGAACCATTACGCTTCAAGATGAGAGACTGCAATAGCAAAGGATTTGTAGGACCGGGCGGTCGCTTGGTTCATGAAAGTGATAAAAGTGAATGAAACAGGGAATGGAGAAATCAGCCATATGCATTTTGCGTTATACTAATTCCAACGTTTCATACAACCAGCAAATGCGGTAGATGCAACGCGCCAACACGGGCCAGCTCGGGGTACAGCAGGCGTTATTGGAGATACACATCCAGAAGGAAGTTTAGACGTGGTGGGGGGTATTAATGGCCAGCCTAGGCAATAAATATGAGGATCAGGATTGAATAGAATTAACATGCTGGAATAGTAGTGCAGGAGGTACAGCGTTAAATGACCGCAACTCAAAGTTGAAGTTACATATGACAGTCCCTCTGGTCAAAATATTTCGCACTGCTAGTCAGATCGAATAGATTGATAGACTCTAATTGTGTGATGTAATTGCACATTTGGAGGCGCCTTACTACATTAACCCGACAATTCTATTCTTCTGAAATTCAGAAAAACACAAAACAGGCCTCCTGTGCTGGCAAGGATGATAAACAACATATTCAGGCTTTCTTGAATTTCAGTGACCAAAATAATGCAAATTTTAATGGCCTCTCGTAGCCTCATATGTGCATCGTTCTCAAGTACGACAGTTAATAGGTTAACACATTTTAGTTCATTTGTAAATATTTACCAAAAGGCTTTAAAATTATCGTTTATTTGTTTCATGGGAAAAGGAACAGAATGAAAAATACGAATGCCAGTTTAGTGTGGGACGTGAGAGTGCATTAAATGCTTCTTCCTTACTACTGAGCACTAGAGACTGATGCGGTAACTTTTAAAAGTATTTGCTCAAAACTTATCGCACAGTGATTAAACATGATTACGCCAAGGGATTATACCGAAAGATCAGAAAAAATGCCTGCCTGCGGCTGTCATCATCATCATCATCATCATCATCATCATCATCATCATCATCATCATCATCATCATCACCATCATCAACATCATCATCATCATCATCATCATCATCATCATCATCATCGTATACATCATCATCATTATCATGATCATCATCATATTCATCATCATCATCATCATCTAAAGCTATTGGGGAATGCGTTGCAAACTTGCCGCCAGATATTTAATCCGCTAGAAACGGTGCTCGCATAGTGTGAAACGACTTTATTTCTGTATCTAAGAGGAGAATGCCGACGGATGTACCGATGTTTTTTGTCGCCAACGCATCTCGGCCTGTAATAAATGCGAGCCGTTGACCGGCTGTTGGCGAGGCTCCAGGCACAATGGAAGAAGTGAATTCCGTATCGATCGTCGAGCGCCCATCCACCACAGCTCATATTCCCGATCTAAACCAGCAAGAGAACGAGCCCGCGGCAGACTTCTAGCTAACAAGGTCATGCCTTTTAGCTTCGGGGCTGCTACCCTTTGGATTAGGTATAGCTGGCTAATGGTGGCTAATAAGCTAGGAGTAGCCATTTAAGACTTCTTTGTC